TGTACTCTTGATACGTTTATTTGAAGGTTTATTCGAACTCTTTTCAGCGAATATGTGGGATCTAATAATAGCTTTTGCTCATTTGAGTGTCTAATTACATACAGTCCAGTAAAAGTTAAATTGTGGACGTTACCACAAGTTGGAGGAGGAGGAATGGTGGTAGTGGTGGTCGTGGTAATGGTAGTGGTAGGGGGTTTAGTGGTCGGGATACTTGACGAGGCATTAATTACAAATCTCCTGGTTATATTTCCTACGTCAAGTAACCACATACACAATCCAGAAACTGATTTGTTTAGAATAAAGGTGTACCAGCACTGATCAGAATCACACGTATGTCCACTAATTGCACTTCCGAAATCATATGGGTAGATGAGTTTTTCTTGCAATGTGTCTCGTACAGTGACCTCAGTTTTGGGTGACCAGTTATCTTGTGAAGGTGGCTTATATACTCTACATCCAATTCGGGTTTGTTCTCCAATTTTTCCTACCAAGGTACTTGTAGTATATGTGTAACCAGGATGTTCCCACTGATCTAGTACTCTCGTTCCCTGGAGGACTATGACAGATGGATTATATTCTCTCAGCTTGCTTGGGTGAACTGGAAGTTCTGGATCTAAAAAATATTGTAGACCAGAACTCTCATTGTAAACTTGAGACCATAATGATTTTGGGCAAGAGTTTGATTTAACACCAATGTACTTATCAGTCCAAAGATCAGCATTGAGGAGACTTGACAGTAGATGATTCTTCTCCCGAGGTCCATGTTTCCTCTGGAACTCTCTTGACTCGAGAGTAGTGGATCCACGTGGGTTTCTCTTTCACCCGGATCGCTGTGAAGGTGGTCATCAACACCTGGAAGGGTCCATTCCACTTCTCTCGCAGTGGATCTCCTGAAAGATTTCTAACATATACCCAATCACCAGGGTTGAATGGATGTAACTTACAATCAGGCTGCTTGGGTTGATGTTCTAGCACCACTGTAGCATTTTTCTGTAATTGTTTCCCAACAACCATAACATAATCATACACATACTGATTACCAATTTGATCTACAGCTTCACTATTCACTGTTTGCATCATGTAGGGTCTGCCAAATAAGATCTCAAATGGGGTCAATTTCTCTTTTGATCTCGGCTTGACCCTTAATCTGATTAAAGCAATAGGTAAAGCTTGATACCAATGTAAATTTGTCTCTTGACATATTTTAGCAATCTGTTGTTTAATAAGATGATTCATTTTCTCAACTTGTCCACTTGCTTGGGGTCTGTAAGGCGTGTGCAATTGTCAATCAATTTTCAAAGCTTTACTTATTGCTTGTACCACCTCTGCACAAAAATGTGAACCCCTATCTGAAGAGATACTCTTAGGTACTCCAAATCTTGGTATAATTTCATTTAACAGGACTTTAACTACTTCTTTTGACTTATTTGTTCTGCATGGAAACGCTTCTGGCCAACCAGAAAATGTATCAGTCAAAACTAATAAATAATGGTACCCCCCTTTTCTTGGTAGTTCAGAAAAATCAATTTTCCAGATCTCACCAGGAAAACTTCCTCTTTTTATTGCTCCTAGATTAATTTTAAGTTTAGTATTTGGATTATTTTTCAGACAGAGTTCACATCGAGATGTGACTTGCTTTATTGTGGTGAGCAAATTTGGTCCTGCTACTCTAGTTTTTAAGTGTTGATAGAGTGGATCCACTCCCCAGTGAGTTTTATCATGTTCTGTTTTCACAAATTACCATATTAATTTTTCTGGTAATACTAATTGGCCTGTCTTCAATTGACCCCATCCATTTTGTAGCAGCTTACCTCCGTTTTTATGTATCCACTGATGATCTGTTTCTTGATACTCTACCTGTTGATCTGTGTCTAATCCTTCTGGGACTAGAGTTGCTATTGGTTGTTCAGTACTCCTTGCAGCAGCCAATTTGGCTTCTGCATCTGCTTTTCTGTTTCCTATCTCTGGAACGGTGTTGCCTTTCAGGTGTCCCCTGCAATGCATTATAGCCACCTGTGATGGGAGTTGGACGGCTTCTAGCAATCGCAGGATCTCCTCAGCATGTTTTACAGCTTTTCCTTGTGTGGTTAACAGTCCTCTTTCCTTCCAGATTGCTCCGTGGGCATGTACAACAGCAAAAGCATATTTAGAGTCAGTCCAAATGTTGATTCGCTTTCCCTTTGCTAGTTCAAGAGCTCGGGTGAGAACTGTCAGTTCTGCTTTCTGAGCTGAGGTTCCTGCAGGTAAGGGGTTGGATTCGATTACCTGTTCTGTTGTAGTTACTGCATAACCAGCCATTCTTGTGCCTTGTTTCACAAAACTACTACCATCCGAGAACCAGTCGTCTGCATCCTGGAGGGGTTCTTCTTTGAGGTCTGGGCGACTGGAGTACACTGCTTCGATGGTCTCCAAGCAATCGTGTACAACAGGTTCTGCTGGGGTTTTTCCTTCTAGGAATGAAGTTGGGTTGATAATGTTAGTCACCTGAATGGTCACATCATCTGATTCAGCTAGGATTGCCTGATACTTCAGGAACCGAGAAGGTGACAGCCAATGGTTCCCTTTCTGTTCTAGCACTGCAGATACAGTATGGGATACTAACACAGTCATTTTCTGTCCCATAGTAAGCTTTCTAGCTTCTTCTATGTTTACAACTACTACTGCAACTGCTCTCAGACAGGTAGGTCATCCTTTGCTTACCTCATCCAGTTGTTTGGAGAAGTAGGCTACTGCTCTTTTGTGTGGTCCCAGTTGTTGAGCCAAGACTCCTAAAGCCATTCCTTGACGTTCGTGCGAGAACAACCAGAAGGGCTTTGTCACATCGGGTAAACCCAACGCCGGAGCCCTCATGAGTTCTCGCTTCAGTCTCTTGAAGGCTTTGTCTGCTTCAGGGGTCCAGGTTAAGTGGTCTTTGTTCACTTTCAGCAGATCATACAAAGGTTTTGCAATTATTCCATACTGATATATCCACAAGCGACACCAACCTGTCATTCCCAGAAAGGCTTGGAGGCTCCTCACCGTCTCTGGTCTGGGTGTCTGGCAGATGGTTTCTTTCCTCGCTGTCCCCAGGGATCGTTGTCCTCCCGATACTTCATATCCCAGGTACACGACTTTCTCCTGGACCAACTGGGCTTTCTGTTGAGAGACTCGATAACCACTTAAACCCAAAAAGTTTAAGAGAGATATTGTCCACTGAATACAGTCCTCTTTTGTTTCTGTTGCTATCAGGAGATCATCCACATACTGCAGAAGCACACCTTCTCCCAGTGACTGTTGCCATAATTCTAGCTCTCTGGCTAGTTCATTACCAAAAAGTGTGGGGCTATTCTTAAACCCTTGAGGCAAGACCGTCCATGTAATTTGCATCTTTCTCCCTTTGTTAACAGATTCCCATTCAAAGGCAAAAATCTTTTGACTTTCCTGTGCTAGGGGTAGACAGAAAAAGGCATCTTTTAGATCCAACACTGTAAACCAAATCAAATTGTCCCTTAATTTAGTCAAAAGTGTATAAGGGTTTGCTACAACAGGATGTATAGTTTTGGTTATTTGATTTACTGCTCTCAGATCTTGTACTAACCTGTAAGTTCCATTCGGTTTCTTCACTGGAAGAATTGGAGTGTTAAAATCTGATTCACACTCTATCAACAGTCCTAATTTCAAAAAGTTTTCAATTATTGGTTCAATTCCTTTTCTGTCCTCTAACCTCAGTGGATATTGTTTCTTTGCTACGGGCTTAGCTCCTGGTTGTAGTTCTATCTGAATAGGAGTTGCCCATTTTGACTTACCCGGGGTGTCAGTGGTCCATACCAGGGGGTACACTTGATCCATAATTTGATCAATATCTTGGTTGTTTGGCTTCGGTTCCATGCAGCTCATAGTTAAACTCAGAGCTGCCAGCAATTGTTCCTCCTTTACTCTGAATTCAATTTTACCTTGTTTAAATTTTATTACAGCTCCCAAATTTTCTAATAAATCTCTACCCAATAAGGGTTTAGGTGAACTTGGTAAATACAGAAACTGATGCAATCCCATTTGTTTCCCGATTTTAAACTTTAGAGGTTTTAAAAAGAAAACCTTTTCTGATTGGCCAGTGGCACCAATAACTTGTACATAATCATCAGTTTTAGGTATCAATTCCTGATTTAAAACCGAAAATGTTGCCCCAGTGTCGACCAAAAAATCCAGTTTTTCTTCTTCTTCCCCTAACCGAATTGTAACCAGCGGGTCTGCCAGGGAAAAACCAGCCGGTCCCCGTCAATCACTATCTTGATGGTCTATGACAGCCCCCCTCGAATTTCTATTTGCCCGAGTGGGACACTCTCTTTTCCAGTGTCCCTCTTTTTTACAATAAGCACACTGATTTTGACTTATCTCTGTTTGCCTAAAGGGTGAACCTCCCCTTCCCCGTGTTGCTTGTCCCCGACCACGACCCCTGTAATATCGTCCAGCTGTTACCAGGTTCTGTGTTAAAGCTGCAATCATTGCTCTTGTAAACCTTCTGTCTTCCCTCTTTTCCCTGTTGTTATACACTTTCCAGGTTTCATTCATTAAAACTTCTAAGTCTTTATTGGCAGGGTGATCTATTTTCTGCAATCTCTTCCTAATGTCAGGATTACTTTGTCCCATCAATAACCCCACTAAATGTAATTTACCTTCCTCTGATGACGGATCTAAGGTGGTGTATTTTCTCATAGCAGCCCTCAGTCTGTCCAAAAACTCTGTGGGGGTTTCATTTCGTCCCTGCCTTATATCATACAAGGCTGCCCAATTCACTGCTTTAGGAATAGCATTTTGTAATCCCACCTTAATCAAGTCCCTATATTTCATCAGCATTCTATAATGTTCTAAATTGTTTGGATCCCAGTTAGGTTGTTGCAATGGAAAAATTTGATCTACATCCCCTGTTAGAACTCCCGTGGCAATCTGACTTATCACTTCTCGTCTAGCTGTTTTTATTACCAGGTCTTTCTCTGTTTCTGTCAATTCTGATAACATTAAGTCAATATCATTCCAGTCTATTTCTTGATTCTTTGCAATCAATTCAAATCTTTTAGCTACCTTCTCAGGATTTTCCCTGAAGCACTTAGCTTCCTCTCTCCAGCTGTTCAGATCACTAGCCGAAAAAGGTACTTTCACTTTTGCCTGCGTGCCTGTCGGTGCTATTACCTGACGCAGAGGCACTAACATATGACCAGTCCCTGCTGTTTGTGCCCTTGTCTTGACCCCGCTCCTCCTTCTCCCACTCTGTACTGAAGCCTGACCACGATGAGTACTACTTATCCCTTCCTCGGGGTCATCTACACTCTCAACTATACTCCTAGAATCATCTGCTCCTAATCCCGATTCCTGCGGGCTACTTGGTCCCTGCCTAACTGGTTCCGGTCCTCTAAAACAAGCTGACTGCAATTCCTGAGGGTCCAAGATACTATCTCCATCACTCTCTCTCCTTCCTAGCTTAAGACACCTCTGACCTATGCTACAGGCATCACAGCAATGCTTTTTCGGCTTAGTATTTTTCTGATTTCTCTCTAATGCCAGTACAAGAGGGTCCTGGGGGGCTACATTAATTCCACAGCTTTTCTACCACTCTGGTTTATTCCTTAACGTAAAAAACATATCGGCATACATAACTTCATCCCACTTTTGCTCCCTACGGAGAAATAACATAAGCTGTAAGATGGTATTGTAATTAAGGTTCCCCTGCGGAGGCCATTTTTCGCCATCATCCAAAGTGTACAAAGGCCACCAATTCTGGTAATATTTTAAAAAGGTCTTCTTACTCAGATTACCCCCAGAAGTTCCTCCTAATTCCTTCCAATGACTCAAGATACATCCTACAGGAGTCTTAGAATTTATCTCCTTGCTTCCACTGATTCCCATTATGAAAGCAGGGAGTTAGATCTGAAATATGCTAACAACCACAACTACAATATTCTACACAGTATTCAACCACCAAACCCTAATACTGGTTTTCAACAAAGATTTCCTAGAATTACTAGCTTTATAACCAGTTTCTGAAATTACTAGTTCTTATAACCAACTTGCACTAATACAAAAATCCAAAAGATGTCACCCTTAGACCATAAATACACCTGGCTCTCACAACGAGCCTATATATTCACATAAATCCACAAGATCCTGCTGTCAACCACCGAACGCCCACTTTTGTAACAAATCCTTATACTCAAAACACAAAATCCAAAACAGATGTTAAAATTCTGGGCGTATTGAAAGAAACACTGGCCTATGAATCCTGCAACAATAATACCTAGTTTCCTCTAAAGTTTGATTATTTCCACATCTGACACAATACAAATTTAAAGTCCACCCTAACCTTATTTCTTGGGAGGATCTGGGTCCTAGAATATACTTAAAACAGTTGTTACATAGAGCACGCACATACAATGAACAATTGCAAAATGGACAGATCTTAATTCTGGGTTTTAAGCTATGTGGTGGATTCACAGTCAATCTCTCAGATCCCCTCCCCATACAGATTTAACAGGATGTTTCTATGGTTGGTTCAGGGTGAACAGAAATTTCAGGAGTTTGAAATTGCCGACAACACAGAGCAAGAAGACAGAAAATTAACAGAGCAATATAGCACGCACAAACTGCTATGACAATTGCTATTTTCCAAGAGTGCATAATAGATAGTTCTAAAACATAGACAAAAGAATAACCAAAGGAAACATAGGTGCTTTGTTTTCCTTGATGTAAACACTATTAGACCAAGTACAGACAAAACCAGAACATACCAACCCAGAGGGGTTATTCCCCAGGAAGAGCGTCCTCTCCCGTATTCCCCGCGAGAGACGGTGTCCCGTTTTCGACTTACGGGTATCCAATAACCAGAACCAGAATAAACAAAACCAGAAACCAGATATAAATACCTTTTATCAATAGGCAGTGTTCTTGTCCAGTCCCCACAAGAGATCACCGAAGGAGGGAGCCCCTTCGGGTAGAAAGACTTACCCAAGGGCGCCCAGGGGGTCCCGTCCTCCCAGGGTCTCCGCAACCGGGTGGAGAAGTTGTGTTGCCGCGGTCGCCAAATGAATCCGAAAAATCGGTCTGAGAAACTGCCCAGAGACTTTGATCTTTTGAGCAGCAAAGGTATTTATTTGCTGCTCTGGGAGCAAGCCAGCTCGCGCTGGACAAACTTGCTCACCGACTCTTCAGAAAATCAGCACTTTTATACAATTTTTAGATGTGATTAAATGCATATTCAAACGATTACAACATCTATCAATACATATTAAAAATAGATGGAGAATAGGTGGAACTTGGGGCGGTGCTTCTCTTGGCACCCCATTTCAAGGGGTCGTTCCCATCTTCATCCATGGGGCAGGGGGCTTTAACTCCTCTTCCTCAGTTTGACCTTTCTTCCTTTCCATTGTTCTTGACCCGCTCAGTGAAACTCAGAAAAGCCCTGGTTCCAGACCTATTTCTCCTATTCAAATGTCTACCTGATCCTGTTATATTTCTAATTTATTGCCTCTAAGTCTATTTTATGTTCTTGTACTATAAGCTTAAGCTTTGGTCCAGTAAGTAGAACAGAACGAGCAGAGATCGTCTTAGATGTTAGCATCTTGTTAGCAGGCCCAAATTTCTTAGTTAACTCTTCTGGGCCTGGCCTCCTGTTTCAGTAAGGTAAACAAACATGGGAAACTTTTTCTCTACTGAGATATCACGAGACACAGAAGCATCAGCTATCCTACTGAGACCTTACCATGTACAAACCACAAGGGTTGAATTAACAGAGCTTGTGTAATTTATTAAAACAGTCGTACCAGAGCTCCTGCTTGTAGAAGCCCTTCACCTAGAAATATGGGACAAAATCGGAAACCTCATGAGACTGAAAGCTCAGGCAGGAGACCCCCGAGCTAATAATGCCATTCCAACCTGGCAAATAAATATGTCTGCTTTACATAGAGCCCACGAGCGAACAGTACAATCATCCCACACTAACACACAAAGCCCCACCCACGCTGCTGGTCACAGCCCGAATCCCATGCGTAGATACACAAACGCACAGGGTTTACCGGGACAGGAGGGAAACACTTGTGATTTAAGTTACGGGTCAGGTGCCGGTAGCCACGAGAGTACGGGTCGTGGGGAGGGAACGGAGCCTGTAATGAGGGATCCCAGCCCATGGGATCAGTGTATAGGGCCCCGCTGCAGTGATGAAGGGGGGAACCCAGCCTATTTGCCACCTCACACTGTAGATGAACAGCGACCACATGCACCATCTCTTCCAGCCCCAGTGCCACCCCGCTCCAACCTTAGGCTTGGGGGGGAGGAATGACCCCTCCCCCACACCGTGTCCTTCATTCACCACCACCCCCCACAGGGAACCAGGTTTACTGGGACCACAGGGGGGAGGCATGGGGGGATGAGGAGGAGGGACCAGAGATGGTTCCACCGGGAGGGAGCGAGGGGGCAAGCGGGGGAAAATCGGTTGACAGGTGGGAACTGTGTCGGAAGGAGGCATTTCGAGTGGGAGACTTGCAGGTTATACATGCATGCCCAGTCATTTTTCGTCAATGTCAGCCCCCTCAATTCCAACCTCTGCCATATAAGGTGACAAAGGAATTGAGGCAATTGGTAAGGGAAACTGGCATGTCCTCAACCAATACTTTTGCGTATTTGGAGATGCTGAGTTCCATCTGTGTTTCTACACCTCATGATTGGAAGACCTTACTGAAAGTAGCTCTTACTAACACTCAGTACAGCGTCTGGTTAACCGATTATCGGGAGAATTGCTCTGTGTATGCTAACAACCCACAAACAGGCATAACAACACACCAACTAACCGGGGAGGGGAATTACAGCACAGTAGATGCCCAGTCCAATTACCCCAGAGAAATATACAAGGTATTTGTAAAACTAGTCCTGAAAACCATGAGGAAATTACCCACTACAGACCAGGATAGTAACCTGTCTTTCACGAAGGTATTACAAGGTTCTACTGAACCATACTCACAATTCCTAGATCAGCTGCAATCTACTTTAAACAGGCAGGTTGAGCATGACGAAGCCAGAGAGATGCTTTACAGGCAACTGGCTTTTGAGAACACAAACCCAGACTGTAAAAGAGCTTTGCAGACCCTTCCTAAAAGGGAGAGTTGCAGCATTGCTGAGTTGGTTCATGCCTGCCAAGGGGTTGGCTTCGTGGAACACCAGTCTGCCTCTTTAACCACAGCCCTAAGTGCCCAGCTAAGAGTGCAGGAAGGAGTCAGACCCAGAAGTGGTTGCTTTAGATGTGGTGCCCCTGACCACTTTCAAAAAGATTGCCCAGAGACCCTCTGCAGTAGCATCCCACAAGTACCCAAACGGGAGGAGGGGGTCAAAAAACTCCTCGCAGCGGGGAAACTGGAAGCAAGAGGCGTTGTTGCATGCCCCAGTACAGTAAATAAATGCGACTCAAGGGGAAAAGGCTTGCGATTTGTGCCCCTCCACCACAACTGAGAACCAGTCATCATATCTTCCACAGATGTAGTACTGATCCTTACAGGGCTTTGGGGTCCCTTTAGCCCAGGGGTGCATGCACTACTAATTGGGAGATCTTCAACCAGCAGAATGGGTTTATTTGTGCTGCCTGGAGTAATAGACTCTGACTCTCGTAGTGAAATTCAAATAATGACCTGGACCCCTTCACCCCCTTGTTTCATCCCTAAGGGACAAAAAATCGCCCAAATAATCCCCTTCTACAGCGCATTGCCTGCGGGGGAGGGGGAGTGGGGTTCAAGGGCCTTAAGTAGCACAGACCAGCCACAAATTTACTGGGCAACAACCATTACAACCACACAGCCGTGCATGACGTGCCAGGTTGATGGGCACTAAATTACAGGCTTAGTGGACACTGGAGTCGATGTTACCATCATAAAAGACTCCTAATGGTCACTTAACTGGCCCACTGTTTGCCCAACTGCAACCATTCAGGGAGTGGGAGGCACACAAAGACCCAAACAGAGTGCTCAAATACACAGTCTTGGGACCAGAAGGACAAATAACCAAAATAGCTCCTTTTGTTGCTCCCATTCTGTGTACATTGTGGGGACAGGATGTTCTTGGACAATTCGGCACAGTAATGCAAATTGCTCCTGCAAGCAGTCAGGTTTTCAATAGGGGCCATTGACCAACCAGCACATCAGACCCACAAGAATATAAGGCTTTGGTTGACACTGGTACACAATGTACCCTGATGCCATCAAGATATGTAGGGACAGCATCTATTTCCATTTCTGGGATGACAGGAGAATCCCAACAGTTGACTGTACTGGAAGTTGAAGTGAACCTGACTGGGAATGAATGGCAAAAACAACCCATTGCGACTGGTCCAGAGGCCCCACGCATCATTGGCATAGATTACCTCAGGAGAGGATATTCCAAAGACCCAAAAGGACATCGTTGGGCTTTTGGAATAGTTGCTGTGGAGACAGAAGAAACTAGACAGCTAAGAACCTTGCCTGGTCTCTCAGAAGACACCTCTGCTGTGGGACTGCTAAGGGTTGAAGAACAACAGGTGCCTATCGCCACTGCAACTGTGCATCATCAGCAACACAGCACTAACCAAGACTCCATGATTCCCATCCGTAAGTTTATTCCTGAACTGGAGATCTAAGGGGTGGTCAACAAGACTCACTCACCTTTCAATAACCCTATACAACCAGTGCATAAGTCCAATGGAGAGTGGAGGCTGACAGTGGACTATCATGACCTGAATGAAGTCACACCACCACTGACTGTTGCTGTGCCGGACATGTTGGAACTTCAGTACGAACTGGAGTTCAAGGCAGCAAAGTAGTGCCACCACTGACATTGTTAATGTGTTCTTCTCCATTCCCCTAGCAACAGAGTGCAGGTGTAACAGACAGATAACATAGAAAATGCCAAAAATTATGTTTCACCATTATTTCTGCCTGTCCAAAAACTTCCTACCAAAAATTCTGTGTCAGTTTTCCACCAGAAGTTCTCACCAGAATTTTCCCACTGGAGTTTTCCTGCCAAAGGATCCTGTTATTGTTCATGGTGTCATGGTTTGAGAGCTTCAAAATCTAATTCCCTAGTCCAAGCCCCCTCCTACATCTCAACCCAATGTGAGATGGTTTTCCAGACAACCACACGAGACTCAAAATGGGGGAAAGGGAACATATTACAATGACTGTACAAATAAATACTACAATACATTATATACAATCTTAGCTATCTCTGCCATGACATAAAATTATTTACAATGGATCAAATCTCTTCTCCCCTCCAAATAAAAGTCCAGAAGGGAAGAAGGAAATGATCTTTTTGTACTCTCAGAACAGTAGTCTCTAAGGCAGCAAGTTTTCTTCCTCTCATGCATGCAACAACTGTGGCTGGATCTCTGCCAGTACTCACCAGGGGGTATCCAAACCCCCTCGACCACTCGTTTCTAAGCGAGGGTCTTCTTCCGTAGGCTGTGTTCACCAGGACAAGGGTCACTTCACTACGTCATATCACGAAGCTCAGGGGTCTTCGTGATGGTCCCTATCTTCAGGGGATTCAAGTTCCCTACAGAACTGATGCCAATAAGTGCCCCCAAGAAGGCGCAGAGAACTGCTCAGAGACAAGTTTTAGTCTTTAAGCAGCGAGGTATGTTTATTTAGGCAATGTTGGAGAGTAGCCAGCTCGCGCTGGACAAACTACTCTGTCTCTTTAGTAAGCAGACATGATTATATACCATTTTTACAGGTGATTGCAAAATTTCACATACATATTCATATAATTGCAACATCTAGTTATAATATTCATAATAGACGGAGTTTGAGTGGAGTCAGGGGTGTGGTCTTCAATTTGGGGAGAATCTAGGAGGGTTGTTCCTGTTTCTTCATCCTCTGGGAGTCGGATTTTACTCCTCTTCCTCGGCTGAACTTTTCAACTTTCTTGGTTTTTACTGACTCCATGGTGAATTTTGCAAGACTCTTGGACCCGAGCCCCCATTTCGCCCCTTATCTTACTTAAGTTAGATGTGTGCATTCTTCCAGTGTACGGTACCACCTGATCTCTAGGTTTTGGCAGTACATCCTAGCTAAGTATTGGCAAAATGCTCCGTGCTCTTGTTTATACCTACATTCTGCCTTAAAATCTGATTTTAACTCTCTACCTGCTTTCTGGGCCTTGTCTGGCTTCAGAGCTCTGTGCTCTGTCTCAAGCAGCAGGGGGGGCCAAGGTCACCCTCCGGATTCTTCTCGGTGCTTTTCAGCTCCTCTCTGTAAGTGCTGTAGCACTTTAAGACTCTTTCAAGTAAGAGTCCATCATTTTCCTCCTTTCTTGGAGGTCTCAGAGGGGTATGGGGTTTTATTTCAGTTCTTACCCCAACTTCCTCTCTCTCTCTGTTGCTGCAGGTTCTCGTTCTCTTTCTCTCTCTCCTTCCAGGAGTTCTCTCTGCCTGCCTGTTGTTGCTGCTTGGTCTTATCTCTCCTGGCTCTCTGCTGTTCTGCCGCCACTTTTCAGTATCTTTTGCTACCGCTCACAGTGGAGAAACATCTCCTGGCTCAACTACAGACACTTAGTTCAGTCTAACACTGTTCCAAGTCTCTGCAGCCCCCAACCGGGGCTGGGGGACCAGAGCCCCCCCAGGGGGGGTTCCTGTTCTCACTCCTCATGGCTCTCACAACATGGTTACTTCTTCTACCACCAACTACAACTACCTTCTCTTCCGTTCTGGTTGTGATATGTTTATATTTTGCAGAAGCGCTCATTGGGTAAAACCTCAAAACTTCAAGGGTCACCACCCCCTGGGGTTTTACCATTTTATAACTGCAGGGGGAAAACTGTTTCCCCCCACCACACATGGTTATCATATCTCTTCAAACATCTGAATAGGGCTATGTGCCAAGAAACCACACACAACCTCCTTTAAACACTATAAAAGTTGAGGAGAAATTTGGGAAAAGTAGGGAAAGAGCAGTGGGAAAGAGAATTGGCTATAGCAGCTGAAAGTCTCTCCCCCACCTCGCCCTCACCTTTTCTTCTGCCACCATATGCTGCCCGCCTGTCGCCAGAGACCGGACCTCTGCCATCTTGAAGTGGACTGAGACCCACCGTGCCACCTGCGTGAGTTCTCCACCCCTGCCATATTTCTGAGGGCCGAGAGGTGCGGCTGGACCGAGACCTCCGCACGACCTGGGACATGGCCCAGTGTGAGCAGGGAAACCCACATCCTGACTGCATTCCAGAGAACTAAAGTTGTAAAAGACCTCCTGAAGCTAAAGAGATAACATCGAAAGCGGCAGAGAATGAGAAAAAAAAGAGGCAGAAAACTGCTTCTCTCTCTCTCTCCCCCCACCCCACAGACCAACTCGACGGAAAGGTAGTTTTTGGTGGTATCTTTTTTCTGCTTCTAAAAGTAATCTTAACATTTTCCAATCTTTTCTTATTTTTTCCTCTCTTAACAATTAATAAAAACAGTTTCGGTATCAACAGATAACTTGTATGAGTTTTAATTTTACTCAAGGGAATATTCTAATCTAAAAGTTCTTTCTGCAATATTTAAGCAGATTGTAACAGCAGGTCACAGATTGCTTTTACCTGGAGGGGTGTCCAGTACACCTGGAACCAATTTCCGTGGGGTAGAAACACAGCTCCACCATTTGCCATGGGTAGACCCAGACTGCACTGGAAAAGGGTGAGGCTCCAGAACATTTACAGTACATTGATGACATCATCATATGGGGGAACACGGCAGAGGAAGTTTTTGAGAAAGGGGAGAAGATAATCCAGATTCTCTTGAAACCAGATAAGTTCACCCCGGTTTTGGTTGTAATGTAACTTTTAAGAGGTAACTCTCCAGAGGAAGGAGCGAGACTTTGGGAAATTTGCTGTAACTTTCATGAGTAAAAAAATTTGGGAAAATTGCTGTAACTTTCTGGAGAAGATCGCTCCGAATTTGTAAGGTAACCTTTTTAAGAGGGACCTTTCCAGGGAGAGGAGTGATGAACTTTGGAAATTTGCTGTAACTTTTAAGAGGAACCCCCTGGGGATGTATTCACTCCGAATTTGTGGTAACATGGAACATAATGTGCAAGCACTTAATAATCTATTAGATGAATTTGGTGCCAGGTCATCTCCTCCAGAAATGGAATGGGCACAAGATAATTGGTATAATATTCAAACAATTGTTGATCGAATCTCTACCCTGCAGACAGGAGCAAGAAAACGTAAAGGAAAACCTATTGTTTGTTCAATATTAGGTGCAGCTATAATAACTGCAATTAACAACAAAGAACAGCAGTAAAAAACTCACATGAAAGTGGTTAACTCACTGCAAGACTCAGTTAAGTCTTTGCAGATGCAGTTGGAGGAACAAGAGGCTACTGTCACTGTCCTCCAGGAAGAGATAAGGAATGAAAGGGCTACAGCCCGTGTGCTCTGAGAGGAGCTGTATGCAAGATTAATGAGAGAAGGAAAAAGGGAGTCAGAGTTGGAGTCACCTAAAGAAATATACCCCCTCTCTGACTTAAAACCTTTGCGTGACCAAGTGGAAAAGCTGTCGGTGTCTCTCCGTCCCCTAATTAAAACAGAATACACATATGAGGGCTCGGATAACGATATACCTCAAATAACTACAAAAGAAGTCACTTATACAGCAACTGAATTAGCTAAGTTAAAAAAAGAATATAGCAGAACTCCTAAAGAATCTGAGACTGAGTATGTTTGGAGAGTCTCTCTTACTGGGGGTGACCAAATTTTATTATCAGAAAAAGAGGTTGAAGGATTTTGGGGAGCCAGAGTTTTCCTGACCACAGGAGATAACTGTGCACCCTGGTCCCTTACCCAAGGAGCAACCTATTGGGCTGGAGGACTCAACCCCTTAGAAAGGGGAGATCCTCTGGCTATAGTAGGAAATGTTAATCAGATTGTAGAAAGCGTTCAAAAGGCTGCTTGTTTACAAATGATGTATGATAGGGAATTGACACCAAGACGTGAATCCCCTATGATGCTGCCTGTAGACCCTAAAAGAATGATTCCCCTTATCAGGGGACTCCCTGAGGCTATGAAACCCATTGGCATTCAGTTAAAAGGACAAATAGAAAGCCTCACCAAAGGGGAAAGAACTGCAGCCACTTTAGAAGCAGTTTTAACCCCCAGTCGTTACCGTGGAGAAAATAAAATTTGGACCTGGGGAGAAGTGGTACAGGAATTAATTAATTATGGAAGAGAATATGGTCCAGTACCCTCAATTACTACTGATACTAAATCAATTCGGCTCACCGAATGCAAAAGTACTCCAACAAGACTCCGAAAAGTAACATTCTCCTCTGGACAAGGAGGACCCACTAACACTGGGGGATACAGGGAAAAAAGGAATGCCCTGTGGATTGTGGGCTTGCAAAAAGGAATCCCAAAATCCCTAATGGATGGCCAACCCACAGATAAATTAGAAAGCTGGTTTTACCATTAAACAAAGTAAGGTCAAGGGACCTGCCTAGGAAATTAAGTTCCTAGGAATAGTGGCAAGATGGACATCACCATATTTCAACAGAGGTGATTAACAAAATAGCAGCTATGTCTCCACTGACCAGCAAGAAGGAAATGCAGGCTTTGTTAGGTGCTGTGGGCTTTCAGAGAATGCATATCTGAGAGTACAGTCAGATTGTGAGCCCTCTCTACCTTGTGACACAGCAGAAAAATTATTTCAAGTGGGACCCTGAACAACAAGCCTTTGAACAGATCAAACAAGAGATTGCTCATGCAGTAGACCTTAGACCAGTCAGGACAGGACAGGATGTGAAAAACATGCTCTACACCACAGACAGGGAGAATGGTTCTTGGAGCTTCTGGTAAAAGTACCTGGGGAGACTCGAGGAT